ATCCCCCCCAAACTTAACTCCCAACCAATGTGGGACTTTGGCATTTTGCCAAACTTCAACATCGTGTTCTTATACAGTCACTCATTAGCTAGAGGACTATATATGAACTCTTGCCATGGCTTGGTTTGTTCTTTGCTGCAACTTATAGTTGCTTTAGTTGAACCTTGGCTTTCTTACTCTTGTTTTCATGAGTAGTTAGTTTCCCATTTATTGACACATTTTGGTGGTAGTGACTAATATTCTCTACCTACTTGGATAGTTGTGAATCATTTGAAGCCTTTCCTTTCAAATTAAGCTTCTTCTTTGAGCAGGACATGGAGGAAGTGATGGATTGCATGCATTTGTTCCTTCTTTGGATTATGCTGTAAATGACATGGTATATAATTTTACTTTTGCATAGATAAAGACATTAAAGAAGCTGCAACAGTTACTACTAACTTTTAAGTGTTATGTATTCACCAAATTTATTCCATTTGTCGTAGAAAAACTTTCTCTCAAAGGTTTTAGATGAAAATCCAGGACTTCCGTGCTTTTGCTTTGGACATTCAACTGGTGCAGCAATTGTCCTTAAGGTAATTTTTAAATCACAATGATAATTAGCTATTCTTGAGTCGAGGATCTATCGGAAACAGCCTCTCTACCCCCTCGGGGTAGGGGTAAGGTCTGCGTACACACTACCCTCCCCAGACCCTACTAGTGGGATTTCACTGGGTCGTTGTTGTTGTTGTTGTAATGGTAATTAGCTACTATATTACTCCATCTTCTAACATGCTATTGAAGATTCTTTTTGACCTATTATTGATACTACTTGTAGGCAGCACTTGACGTGAAGGTGAGAGCTAATATAGCTGGTATTATATTGACTTCTCCTGCTATAGGAATTCAACCAACTCATCCAATTATCACAGTAAATGTCATCTTATATCAATTTTCTTTGTCATTAAACTCTATTTCCACTAAGCAGAAAAAGATTTTAAAAGACCTGTTTTTTTCTTATTTTTAGGTTCTGGCTCCAGTGGTCTCTTTCCTGATGCCAAGATTCCAATTGAGCGCGGCAAATCAAACAGGTATAACAGTATCTAGGGATCCATCAGCATTATTAGCCAAGTATTCAGATCCACTAGTATTCACTGGATCCATTAGAGCAAGAACTGGTTACGAGATCCTTCGGATCACTGCCTACTTGCAACAGAATATGAGCAAGTTGACAGTACCATTCCTAGTTCTTCATGGCACCGATGATGCAGTAACTGATCCAGAAGGCTCTAAGAAACTCTATCAAGAGGCTTCTTCAACTGACAAAAGTATCAAGCTATGTGAAGGATTGCTGCATGACTTGCTATTCGAACCTGAAAAAGAAGAAGTTGTGAAGGATATAATTGAATGGTTGAACCAAAGATTGTGAAGATGTTGAAGACTCAAAGGAATAGCTTGATCAAACGAGGTAGAGGGACAACTTGAGTTCGAGGAGATTGGCTGCGCCAAGTTTGAGATTTCCCTCAATGAGAGCCTATATATTAAGTGAGGGAAGAGAATTGAACTTGCTAAATAAGTTCGAGCACATTGAACATGGAGAAGCTTAATTGCACTGTTAATTAATGTAATGTCATCTAATCAGTGGCGACATTGCTCAAGATGTTGCTTATGGTAGTTTAATATTTTGACAACCACTCAAATTGCACAACCAAATGGGACTTTCGTAAGAATGGTTATAACATCATCCATTAAAAGGTGTTTTTGGTAATACCTTAGTAAGTTTTGGTTGAATAACCAAAGTAACGTCTACCTAGGCAACTTTTAACATTGTATATATCTTTTCTGCTAATGATAAATTAAAAAATTTCATGGAAAGATTATCTCTTGGTTAATATATTTATTTCTTACAATGTCTTCACCGAGATAGGCTTTCTGTGCAGTATGCATCAATTGATTGATGAGATAAAAAGATGCATGTATCTTCATACACGATTTTCATACAATCATCTATAGTGTTTGATAGTGTGTATTTCTGCAGATGCCAGAAATGTCAATCAGACATTTGGTTTGAAGGTTGGGCTCAAACCTGTACTGGGGAAATGGATTGGCGCATGACTTCTGATCAGTATCTCTCAGCATGGTGCAGTTGCAGATTGAGGAAGGCATTAGGCGGAGCTCACATTTTGCACAGACATCCGATGGCCAATAGGTTATGGCCTCAGTTAAGATAAATTTTTTGACAAGTACGTTCAAGGAACTGTGAATGCATTCACTGCTAAATGATGTTTTGATACATACATTATAGTCCCTCTGTTCCAATTTATGTGAACTGTTTGACTGGACACGGAGTTTAAGAAAAAATGAAGATTTTTGTAATTTGTGGTGCTAAACAAGTCAAAAAGCGGCCCAGAGTATTTATGTGGTTATAAAAGCTTCTCATTAAGGGTAGAATTGAAAGTTTAAGTTAAATTATTTTCAAATTTAGAAAGGGATCATTCTTTTTGGAAGGACCAAAAGAAAATAGATTCACGTAAACTGAAATAGAGGGGTTATGATTTTTTGAACAAGTATGAATATAGTACATAGCTTATTATCATGTGTTTTGACAGACTGCACGTTTTAAACGTATAGCTTGTCAATATTTTTCAACTTTTTTTCGGAGAAGATTGAAGAGAAGTTTCTAGGAGCAGATAATGAAGGAATCGACATGAGACCCATATTTTTACACCAACCATAAATTAGTGTCATCATAATGCTTGTAACTTAGTGATATCGGCAAAAGTGTCTCACATAATAAGCGTAAATTCAATTCAATGTCTTTCATTTGAAACCATTTCCCAATGACCTTATGTATTTAATTTTATTTAAAAAAAAAAAAAAAAA